ACCCGCGGGCTCAGGCAATCCACTCACCTCAGCCTCCCAAAGGCGCGGGGATCACAGGCTGAGCCACCGAACCCGGCTCAGCATCCCTTCTTAACAAAGGTGATGGGAGCTCTGGGTGGAGGGGGGAAGGTCAGCGGATGTACAGCTGAATGGCCTCATTCCAAAGGAGAATGGGGTGGCGACTGGGAGAGCTGGAAGCCACCCCTGGAGAGGAAGGAAGGCTGGGGCAGGTACCATGGTGGGTGGGAACCTCTGCAACTGACTAAGAAGCAGTGACGCCCAGGAGGTCTGGACCTGACTAGCCCCAGGAACAACAGCTCTTGCCACCAGCCCTGGTCCATGCTGGACTTGCCAGAAGGGACACAGGCAAAGCTCTGAGGCTCTCGCTTACCAGGGGCACCAGGAAAGGGCTCAGCAGTGCAGCTGTGGTGGCAGCGTGGTCGGTGCTGTCAGGCCCAATCACCGCCACAATCTTGGGGGAGTAGTGGAGAAAGTCCCCTTGGATGTCTATGTGGCGCGTCCCTGGCAAGGAGAGCACGCTCAGCGTGGCATACACGTTGGCCGACTCCGAGCACACGTCATACAGCTCATAGCCCAGGGTGACATTGGGCAGCAGGACCGTGGAGTTGTTGATTGCCTCGATGCTGAGCCGCATGGCCTGGAAGAGGTGGTAACCGTGGCCATTGAAGCCGCAGGTTCTGAGGGGCACACAGAACAAGAACTGAGAAGGACAAAGCCAGGGAAAGCCCCTAGCCTCCCAGACTCCCAAGATATGGGGTTAGGGCCGGGCTCGGTGGCTCAGCCTGTAATCCCAGTACTTTGGGAGGCCGGGGTGAGTGGATTGCCTGAGCCCGCGGGTTCGAGACCCGCCTGGGCAACTTGACGAGACCTCATCTCTACAACAAATCAAAAACTAGCCGAGCATGATAGCGCACACCTGTAGTTGCAGCTACTTGGAAGGCTGAGGCAGAAGGATCGCCAGAGCCCAGCAGGTCGAGGCTGCGGTGGCCGGGAGTGGCCATTGCACTCCAGTCTGGGTGACAGAGTGAGACTCCAACTCAAAAAAAAAAAAGTATGGGGTTAGAAGGAAACTGTGAGGTCATCTGTCCAGGCCCTCCACAGATGGAGCTCCAGTGGGTGTTAGCAAGCCTGGGGAAAGATAGCAACAAGCTGGAGAAATGCCATGTGCCACCCCCTTTGGACAGGCACATTAGAACCTTGAGCCCTGGTGAGGAGGTCAGAGGTCAGCCAGGATTGGTCATCCATTCATTCATTCATTTTGTAGAGATAAAGTCTTTTTTTCTTTTTTTGAATTGGAGTCTCGCTCTGTTGCCCAGGCTAGAGTGCACTGGCACACTCACGGCCACCCCAGCCTCGACCTGCTGGGATCCGGTGATCCTTCCACCTCAGCCTTCCAAGCAGCCGGAACTATAAGCGTACGCTACCATACCTGGTTAGTTTTTAAAATTTTATTGGGGAGACAAGGTCTCGCCAAGTTGCCTGGGCTGGTCTTGAACCCGTGGGCTCAGGCAATCCACTCTCCTCGGCTTCCCAAAGTGCTGGGATTACAGGCTAAGCCACCAATGCCAACCTTTTTTTTTTTTTTTTTGAGTTGGAGTCTCGCTTTGTCTCCCGGGTTGGAGTGTAGTGGCATGTTCACAGCCATCACAGCCTCGACCTGCTGGGTTCAGGTGATCCTTCTGCCTCAGCCTTCCAAGTAGCCAGAACTACAAGAGCATGCCACCATGCCCAGCTAAATTTTTTATTTATTGCAGAGACAAGGTCTCACCAAGTTGCCCAGTCTGGTCTCGAACCCCTGAGTTCAGGCAGTCCTCTCTCCTTGGCCTCCCAAAGTGCTGGGATTACAGGCTTGAGCCACCATGCCCGACCAGAGATGAAGTCTTTACTATGTTGCCCAGACTGGTCTCCAACTCCTGGGCTCAAACAATCCTCCCACCTTGGCCCCCAAAGTGCTGGGGTTCCAGGCATGAGCCACCATGCCCACGTTTTTTTTTTTCCTTTTGAGTCAGGGTCTCATTCTGTCAACCAAGCTGGAGTGCAGTGGCGCAATCACAGTTCACTGCAGCCTCAGCCTCCTGGGTTCATGGATGCCACCACACCTGGCTAATTTTTTAAAAAATTTTTCTGTAGAGCTGAGGACTTTCTATGTTGCATAGGCTGGTCTTGAACTCCTGGGCCCAAGCAATCCTCCCACCTCAACTTCCCAAAGTGCTGGGATTACAGGTGTAAGCCACCGCACTCTGCCCTCACCAGTATAGCTTAGACATATAGGTAGATAAGTTTCTTACAGGCAGATCTAAATTAAAATAGGGTAAGTAGGGCAACCCCTTCGGGTCCCCGCCCACTGTGGGAACTTTTCTGTCCTCTCAATAAATCCTGCCTTCTTAAAATAAATAAATGAAATAAAATAGGGTAAGCATTCAAACATGTTATCTGTATACAACCTTCATCTAACCAACCAGGCATGTCAGACCTGACCACCTTGCGGTTGGAATGCAAAACTAGCAGTGCAGTAAATCACAGAAATAATAGGGAATTACCCAAAACACAGATGTGATGCTCTTAGGATAGCCCACATCTAGTTAGACAGGGACTTCCATTATCTAGAAGGACCTTGTGACCTTAAAAGGTTGAGATGGTGATCAAAACTTGTGACCAGATAACTGGAGACTCTGCTGTTAGCTCATGGCTTACCTAATATTGTAAAAGTATATAAAGCTGGCTGGGCATGGTGGCTCACGTCTATAATCCCAGCACTTTGGGAGGCTGAGGTGAGAGGATTGCCTGAGTTCACAGGTTTGAGGCCAGCCTGGGCAATTTGGCGAGACCTCATCTCTACAATAAATTTTTTTTTTTGAGTTGGAGTCTCACTCTGTCGCCCAGACTGGAGTGCAGTG